CGTCTTCTAAAGCACTACAGTTTAAAGAAAACAGATTGGTAGAAGGGTGTGATATGCAACCATTGGTATGTTTACAGAATGGGATGCTGAAAATAATGTAATTTTGTAACACAAAATCGACGAAAAATGTTGCGCAATGCAAAATTAAGAAACTGAAAAAAAAGAATTGGTTTTAGAATGCTTCTTTCCTAAAACATTAACGATTTAAAAAGTGTTTATATTGTATTTCTAATTTGTTTTGACTGAAATTCAAGAAAAACAGATTTTTCGCCAGTTTTCAAATTACTGTATCTCTTTAATTATGAGTTGGATACCATTAGTATATTAACATTCTTTTGTTCCAAATTACCTCAGGAATGCCCTCCCTAAGTGAGGGTAAAACTTCGTGAATCACCCTGTATTTGTATGTCTTCCTGCATACGGGTATTTGATCTGTCAGTTAGTCAGTTACGGTTACATCAGATGACAGAACATACGAAGCTTTGGCCCGATTAATACAAGTTGCAGTGATCTATATGGAATTATTTGACAGTCTAGAGAAGAGAAATATATGTAATAAGCTAATAAGGCGTAATATCTTTAATTCGTTAGAGTATACGTAGTTAACTTGAAGATGAAATCCAAGTTTATACCTAACATAACCCCAAGATCTCTTGCACGGTCAGCACTCATAATTAACTCATCACCAAGATAGTAATCAAGTGGATAGTGTTCTTACAGATGAGAAAATAGTTTTTAGTTCTGTAAATTTTAAATTCTATATGGTTTCACCACACTACCTTCATACCAATTCAGTATTTGCAAAAAATTACAGTTTGAAATGCATTCTGTTTTGTAATACATCTCCAGTTAATAGAAATTTGGAATGGAAACGTTTAGTACCAATATCATTAATGAGAAATATCGAAAGGAGGATGCCATAGGAAAGTGAGGAGAAGACTCCGCAAATATATGAACAAAGGAAGAAGTGAATGGTAAGTGGTGCAGGAACAAAGTAATATAAAGAGAAGACAGTTCAAAAGTATTAAGTTTCTGTAACGGGAGAATATAAGGAACTGTGGCACAAACTAAAATCAAACTCTTCCCGGTAACAATCAGGAAGTAGTACAGCATTTGATCGAATTCGGTTCTTTATTTAAATACATCGTTGTAGAAATAATATTCAATTTAATTATTTATTATTTATGTGCCGAGTCAGCAACCACAAGGACAATTACAGACACAGCACAGTGTAGATACAAGTAATTACTTTATGGACAAACACAACACAAAGTCAAAGACAAATTACAGTAAACACTGGAAGAAAAAATTAGTACAGAAAGGTAAACACATTAAAAATAATAATAATAACAACAACAACAACAACAACAACAACAACAACAACAACAATACAAACAACAACAATAATAATTATTATTATTTCATTAACACAAATCTCAGTTGTTATTGTGAATTGAGAAATGTGAAGTATAAATATTTAGAAATAATAATAATATACGTGCAAAATAAACAGCTCAGAGACCAATTACAAAGTTAGCACGAGTATGTAAAAGTAAATAAAAATAGATAACAAACAAATTACAAAATAAAGTAGTTTATATAATAGCAATAAATTAATAATAATTTCATGAAAATTTTAAGTTGTCATTAATAGGTGAGAAAAGAAAGATGAGTATATTTCCAGTGGTTATGCCATTATGTTGCGAGAATGGAATATACGCGTACATACACACATACAAGTTAATAATTAACAACAATAATTCAGTGAATTCTTACTTACATACAAATAATAGTAGTAATTCAATTGAATTCAGTTCGTGTTTATTTACGTGCAAACGTAACAGCACAGAGGCCAATAACAAAGTTGGCACGAGTACATAGAAATACAGATATAACTAAAAAAACACAAAGAAGACAGTCTATATAATGGCATTAAATTAACAATAATTCCAAGAAAAATTAAAGTTAGCATTGACAGGTGGGAAAATAAAATAAGTACATTTCGAATGGTTATTCCATTATATGGTGAGAAAGTACAATACACATACACACACATAGAATTTAATAATAATAACCCTATTAATTCTTATTTATTCGTGTAATAATAATAATAATTCGATTCAATTCGTGTTTATTTACGTGCAAACTTAACAGCACAGAGGCCAATTACAAAGCTAGCATGAGTAGAGAAATACACAAAAATAATTAAAAAACAAAATACAGAAATGATAGTCTATATTAATTACACAGTTAGCATGAATAAAGATGCAGAAGCAAACATACACAGACAAAGCCACAATGTGAGAATTTGAGTTTCATATAGAGCAGCATACAATACTAATAATAACTAAATTAATAAAAATATTTATAATAATATTAGTTTAATTAATTCAGTGTAAGATGTCTTTCATCAACAGAGTTTTTGGTCCAAAGACGTCACCGTCCCTATAAACAACATTAGCAGCAGAAGCGCATCTAGCAGAGGGGCAATAATATAATTAATCATAATAAAGTAAAGTAAAGCTATCCCTGTAACAGGCCATGGAGACCCATAGGGTTGTGAGATGTTGAAGGTTCCCACATTTTCTAGACAATCCGCTCATAGATGGTCGTAAGGTTGTCTGCCTTACGCGCCAGCCACCTTTAATCCCCAGGAATATTCCAAGAATATTCCTGGTACTCATTTCTGTTAGAGGCTGAGTCGAACCCATGGCCATAGTGCGGCTGGAAGGATTAGTTCAATTGAAAAAAAAATCCAATGACCTCATCAGGACTTGAACACTCTACCTCCTGGCTTGTAGCGTAGTGCCTCAACTGGGCTACCGCAGAGAGAGGAACTGTAAAGGTTTAGATTTTGAAATAAAGGAAACGTGTTAGCTGCAGGAAGAGAAAATATATTTTCAATTTTTAACAAACTGACTGAAGCAGATATCTTATGGACATATTTGAAACTTAGTTTGGGGATGATTATGAAGAATGCAGTGACGAATGTATTAAGAAGATAGAGGAAAGTCAATGGGATGGAACAGGACTAATATTCAAGTCACAGACCATAATAATGAGGATAGCCACTTGCAACACTCCAAAATGCAGGCTACTGTTTAAATATATCATTATATTTTAACAATGGTCATCTAAAAACCTCACAAAGGCTGGACTAATGTATTTATATGTTTAGTTTATTTGACGATAAGGCCATAGCCGCGTATATTGATGCAGTTGGTACAGTTCTATGCGGATCTTAATGTGCTACCCGCATTTTTTCAGATTCCTGTGGAAATCTGCCCGACACCCGCACCACCTGATCCAGCACGTGCCAATGCTATGGTTCGCGACGCCTTGCATAAAGCAGTTTTGGATTTTGAAGAAACCCTCCAACGATCACATCCCAAACAAATCAGCTACATAGCCATTCCGGACAGCCCAGGACAAGGCACAGCAGTGGACATTACGGAAACCGGTGAGTCCCCATCTTTGTCGACAATATTGCCCTGCAAGTGTTTACAGTATTACTGGACGGTTGTGATAAGATTTGCGCAGTCTGTGGCCTATCCTGTGTACTTGATGCGATTACAGTAGCTCCATGCGATCAATTTCGTATTTTTGTGAACGCACAGATGAATTTGTTAATTGCATGAAGTCAATTTCGCGACCTCCTCAACTGCGGAAAAGAAATTCTGCAACACGCAGGTCGGTTACTTAATTAGTTAATACAGTTTATATAATTCCCGAAACCTACTTTGAATGTTATATTTTCACTCGTGTTACACAATGCGTTCTTTGGTAAAAAGTAAAGAATATAATGTTCACGCCTGAACTTCCTTGTTTAAATTCAGATTCAGGGCCCTTCTGCGTTCTGTGGTTTACCTCAGTGTGTTCATTAGAAACCTCCTCACTCTCAGTCACCTCCGATATTAGAACTAAACCTTAGTCTTTTTCATTCAGGTTGTGACTGACTGACAGTTCTTCGAATCAACAGACAGATAATCCAGAGAACGCAGTAGGACAGTGGATCTCAATTTGAACAAGGAAGTTCAGACTTGAACATTATGTTCTTTGCTCTTATACCAAAGAACGTACTGTGTAACACCAGTGGAAATATAACATTCAGAACTAAAAAAGGCTATGGCTTACTTTTGGGAGCCGGGATAGTGCAGTCGGTATAGCGACTAGCTACAGGCTGGACGACCGAGGGGTCGCAGTTCTAGTCTCTGCATGATCAAGCATCTTCTCTCCTCCATATCGTCCAGATCGGTTCTGGGACCCACCAAGCCTCCTATCCAATGGGTACTGGGGGTTCTTTCCCCGGGAGTAAAGCGGTCGGAGCGTGAAGCTGACCACTCACCTCCAACTAGTGCCGAGGTCAAGAAAATGTGGATCTATACGTCCACTTTCCCATACGCCTTCGTGGCGTAGTGCTTAATTACATATAGTTAAGCACAGGGACAACTTTATGGGTTATTTTTCGTGATATGCAACACCTTCCTTCACAAGGCAGAGAAATAAAAAAGGAAACCTAGAGATTTATTATTAAAATGAATGAATGGTGGAGTCTGAATAAGGATAAATTGGTATCTGGCTGTAGTATGAAAGAATGGGCGGCTGTCCTCAAGGAAAGATTACGGTGATTACGTTGAAAAGACCGCCCAAAACCACATATAGTCAGAATTGTACACATACGTTCCATCTAGTGACGAAATGTGGAACTACATAGTGGAAATCTGATGTAGTCGTCGATACATAACGAAAAGAGTATTTCATACGGCATTTTTACAGTAATAAAACTGCAGAATCTACAAGTATTAGAGAACAGCACAGTGTATTGGTTAGCTCTTTCGTTTCCTCTTCTAGAGGTTACCGGTTCGAATCTAGACCCCAGGAAAATGTAAAGATTCGCATTATTTGGCTTCAACGTTCACAATCGACCTACCAATCAGCAGTAATGTTTTACAATATCATCATCATCATCATCAGTAATCTGTCAAGACGACAGGTCCACAGTCTCTTCCAAAACAATTCCTCGACTTAATGCGATCTAGAGCTTTCTCCTTCAAATGACAGTATCCTCTTCTGTACCCAAGGTCATCCAGCATCTTCTTACGTCTTCTTCCTCGTCTTCTTGTCACTTCTATCCGCCCCTCTATCTTTCCTTCGATAGCTTCTTTTAGAAGGCAGTTTTTGCGTAAAACATGACCCATCCAATTAGCCTTCCGTTTTCTTATTTCGTGTAGGATATTCCTCTGCTCACTGACTCTAATTAACACTTCTTCATTTCTCACATAATCGGTCCAACTGATCTTCATCCTTCTCCAACACCACATTTCGAAACTTTCCAGATGTTTCTGATCTACTGGCCTAAGTGTCCATGTTTCAGCCCCATATAGAGCTGTGCTCCAAATGTAGCATTTCACTAGTTTCTTCCTCAAATTTAAGTCCAATTTGCTGGTAAAAAGATTCTTCTTCTTGCTAAATGCAGCTTTTGCCATGGCAATCCTGGATTTAATTTCACTAGTACACCTTCCATCATCTGTTAACAAGCTACCCAAATATTNTTTACAATATATGTAACAATAAAAGGTTCGTTGAATAGGTGAAGAAATAGTGATAATAATTAGACCCTCACGCCTATTCTTACCAGATGGAAGTGACAAGACGTTTTATATTGATTAGAACTTCATGATACAGGTTAACTTCTTCATAACATCGCATGGAAGAATAAATATGAACCAAACGAACAGTAATCCTCCCAGATATTTTTATCGTTCATATAAGCTCACTTTATTATAATTTCTAAAATGGTGATGAGAGGAAAGGCGTTGCACACGCAATACCGGGCTATTGTTTTTTACAACCTGCTGGACCGATTCAAGTTTCACCATAAATATTGTATTACTCACAATCTTAGAATACAGCATTCGCGCGCCCTTCTCTGTCTTCTTGTCTTCATGCTTGTCTTAACTTTAGAACATGATATGAACACTATATAATAAGAGAATAATATATTTCTACATATTCCTGTTGGAAATTTTAAATAAGGAATTTGCTCATACGAATAGCACACAAGACTCAGTCACCACTGCAGTTGTCAGTGTTGTAGTAGGTAACACTTAAATTCGTGTAACACAGATTTTTATCGTCAACTACTTATAGAAAGGGATTGGTCATGCTAACATACATCTGTAATGCTATGCTAAGACTTAGTATTTGGCCGAAACAATTAAAAACAGCAGAAATTATCTTGATACCAAAATCAGGAAAAGACCCAAAAGAATTATCTTCGTACCGTCCAATAAGCTTACTGTCCATAATAAACAAACTATTTGAGAAGCTTATACTTCGGAGACTAAATATTGACCTAAAGCCAGATGAATGGATGCCTCCACATCAATTCGGATTTAGGAATCATCACTCTACAATACAACAAACACATAGAATCATCCATAAAATAATTCAAGCATTAGAAGACAAACAATGCTGCACGTCAATATTTATAGACGTAAGACAAGCCTTTGATAAGGTTTGGCATGATGGACTCCTATTCAAGATCAAAAAGGTGCTCCCTATAAAATACTTTGGAATACTCAAGTCATATCTGTCTGACCGAGAATTCCGAACACGAGTTAACGAGGAGGTATCCAGCAACTTCACCATCCAATCAGGAGTCCCACAAGGGAACGTTTTAGGCCCGATATTATACGTGCTATTCACAACAGATCTCCAAACGACTACTTACACTACAACAGGGACATTTGCTGATGACACGGTCATTCTTGCCAGCCATGATGATCCAGTAACTGCCTCGCAAAGACTACAAAGTAATCTAGACCAATTAGAAACTTTGTTAAAAAAGTGGCGAATCCACATTAATGAAACCAAATCTATACAGGCCACCTTCACAATGAGAAAAGAGCAGTGCCCAGCAGTACACATAAATAATACTGTAATTCCATAATCAACAGTAAAGTATCTTGGACTCCACCTGGATTCCAGGCTTGCTTGGAAACAGCATATAGCCAAAAAAGAAAACAGATGGACCTAAAAGTAAAAGACATACGTTGGAGCATTGGAAGTAAATCTAGCACATCGCTAGATAGTAAAGTACTTCTTTACAAGACAACCATAAAGCCTATTTGGACCTATGGAATCGAACTATGGGGATGCGCCAGTAAATAAAATATAGCCATAACGCAACGAAGGCAGTCCAAAATACTGCGAATGATCACAAATGCACCTTGGTGTATGACTAATCAGACCCTACATGACGATCTCAATGTACCATTCATCAAAGAAGTCATCAAAGGAAAAAAGCATAGAACATCATGATAAACTAGGACACCATAGCAATACATTACTGCAGCCCCTACTGGAACAACAACAACGAAGAAGGCTAAAGAAATTATGGCCAGCAGATCTACTTGATGGTTGAAGAGGTTCTCTCATTGGACGAGCCCTCCTCACGGCACAATAAGCACACGAGGACCGTGTTTAAATTAGCAAATTAGCTTAAAGAATGTATTTAATTCTGATGGCTAATAAATATATATATAAAAAACTACTTATAGTCTTATGTACTGTGACATGAGGCTTGACAACTAGAATAAGGGAGCCAGAGAAACAGCCGTTGCAACCATGAGAACTACAATGCTCAAAGCATAGGACAAGCCGAAGCCAGACACTTGAAATATAGGAGGCTTAAACTTGGCGGCCGTTAAGCTTACGACCGTTCGAGAAACTAAGCTGCCGTTGTAACATAAAATACGTAAGATGGGTATGATCTGCTTTGCAAAGCCTGAATTGTCAAGAGGATTTGTATATAGTGAATAAGGAAGAATTTTAAAAGAAGCATGCTATATGTGGGATACGTACACTTAACGAAGGACCAAGCATATCCATAAAAGACCCATCTTCTCGTCAGAGAGGATGTTATATAAGGACTATGACTTCAAGGGTTCAGTTGGAGTAGGAGTAGGAGCAGAAGAAAAAGAAGAAGAAGACTCTGGGCGTGAGTCGTAAGAGGCTTCACGCCAACACGAACTGATTGGCAGTAAACCGCCAGTTGTAAAGTAACTCGTGTCGCCGATTCTGTGCATTAGATCAGGCTGGGAGCTACCAGCTGAAGCCAGCGGTCAGAGTATGGTGGCGTGAGATGGTCACCAACTTGCAAGGACGTGAGCCCGGTAACAAAGAAACGTCTGCTGTTGGATGCCGCTACCAAGCAACCTGCGTAACAGTGTTGCGTAAAGTGTAGTCACGCGCTGTAAAAGTGTCCAATAAATCCAGTTATCAATCCAATACTCGTCCACAGTCAACACGTGACAGTATCTTGCTTTTATTAAAACAAAATAATCTTTTTATCTGCAAATGGATTAAATCATTTATGTACATTACGAAACTGTCAGTTATTCAAGGCTTCGTACATAGAACTGTAACAGTCCTTTAAAAACGTCCATTTAAATGTCA